TTTTGGTTTTTTGGTTTTTTTCCTGGTACCGGGAACCGAACTCACGACCTTGCGCTTGCCAGGCAGGCGCTTTTGCCGCTGAGCTAAATCCCCAGCAAGGGGTAAATTCTTATTACTAAGAATTTCTTGACTCATTTGCCCCCAGTCAGATGTTTCTGATTTAAGTATGAAGAAATTTAGAAATGGTAGCTTTGTTTCTTCTTTAGAATGTGTAATATGAAGTTTCTGGGTCTTAGTATTTTCTTACGATTATTGCATGAGGGTACTGCATTTAGACTTTTTAGAAAAACTTCATAAATGAATGATTCTTTGGTACTAGAATCTAGTCTCCCCAAATTTGTGGATGTTACTTAAGTAGCATAAATTTAGTAACGTATCAAATATGTGCTGGCAATGTGAATATTTAAAAATGTATGAATTGTTCTTTTTTCTGCTTTCCATAATCATTCATTTCTCTTTTTAGAGCCACCTCTGTTTACACCGAAGAAGCCAACAGGACTATGTACTTGAACGTATCGCGGACGAATGGCCTTGATTTAGCTGTGAGCGTGCAGTGGGAGACAGTCTCTGAAACAGCTTTTGGCATGAGTACGTTTCGTTTCTTATGAGCAAAATTCTACAACTAAGAAATACTGCTTGTGTAGGATTAGATTACTTTCATGGCTTGAGTCTTACAAATTCATTGAAAGTAGAGAACAGACATCTAGTCCTATTATTGCATCCACAAGTATTTATTGAGTGCCTGTCATGTGCTAAGCATGGTACACAGTTCATCGATCTTAGAATTCAGCAGCTACCAGAAAGTAATCAAATAAGTGAAAGTCAGTGTGTCGTTCAAACTACAAGAAATGTTTTAATGGGGAAGCTGTAAGTGCTAAGAACACAGGGATGGTGAGTGGAGGTTGACTATGCAAAGCACCGGGCTGGAGGACCCTGGGGATGAGTCTGGGAAGCTGTTGAGGCAGGAGACTCGCACCGTGAGAACCGGAGTGGACAGTGGCGTAGAGATGAAGGAAGAGTACTGCTGAAGACCAGCTCAAAGAAGAGCTTGGAAAACTTGTATAGATGTCAAGCTTTTGTCCTGAGGTTCAAAGACTGAACTTTTTCCCACTCAGCCTTTGAGTGGTTTAGGAATGGAGGAGGTCAGTGTTGTGTAGTCAGGTTTGCATTTGATACTATTCATAGTGCCACATAGAGGAATGGTTGGTACAGAGGGGAGGAGAGGATCCAGGGAGATAGTCAGAAAGGCAGCAGATGACTGGAGCTCAGACCAGTGATGGCTGGTACATGGAGGAGAGCGAGAGCGAGAGCGAGAGGCAAGGCTGACTGCTAGGGTCCCTGCTTGTACTGTTGGATGGAGCGTCACCCCACTCACAGAGGAAAGAAATTCAGAAGAGGAACTGGGAGCTGAGTAGCCTGATGCCTCACAGAGGAGACTGAGAAACCCAGGAGAACCCAGGAACCCAGACATCCGCGGAAGAGTGTGTTAATGTGGAGGGAGAGACAAACTATGTCATCTGCTGGCAAGAAGTCCAATAGGATGAGGACCCCAAAATACGACCATTATAGTTAGCAATAAAGAAGGCATCATGACCACCGCAAGAGGCGCTTGTATAGTGAGACGGTAACGCTTTGAGTGGAGATGAAGGAACTATTCGACTGTTTCAAAAAGTGAAACAGTGGCTGGGGAGGCAGGACCTAGAGAAGGTGGTGAGGTGTAGGCTGAAGAGGTTTGGTTTGGAGAGAGACACACAGGCATGTTTCAATGCTGGGAGAAAAGGCCTAGCAGACAGAGCAAGCGTGAATATTTAGAGAAGGGGATAATGAATAGATGGATGCCTAGAAGGCAACCAAGACGGATTGTGGTTCCTAACTCAGTTCTGTCATTATTGCCTGGGCTCTACGCGTGCTTTTTGGAATTCTTGTGAGAATGGAGAGTGTCGAGTGTCTGTGGTTATTTAATCTTTATGCACTGTCTTCTTGAGTTCCAGCAGATAAGAATTTATCCCCCCACCAGGATCATTCAAGACTTGTACTGAGGAAGTTGTGGAACCCATTCAAAAGGTGGCAGGATGGGAATTTAGAGTGTTGGGCTTTTAGGAAAGGAAATTGCTGGTGGATACCGCACTATCCTAGCTGCTTTTTTCTCATTGCTGAGACAAAATACCTGATATCCAGAATTAAGGAAGGAAGGTTTGTTTAGCTCACAGTTTGTGGAGGTTTCTGTCTATAATCAGCTGGTTCCAAGGCAGGGAGGCAGGGCACAGGGCAACACTTCAAGGCAGCACAAGACAGCAGAAGCAGCAAGAGCGAAAGGGGGAAGAAGAAAGCCTCTTTTCCCTTCTTATATTGTATACCGGCTATTCGCCCAGACCCACACCATCTGGGTGCCCTCGTCTTCCACAAGCTGAAGATATTCACAAAGTAAGGACCCTGGCCCCCTGCTGAATTACTTTAAAGTTTGAAGTTGAACTTTTAAACTCCTCAAGCTGGTACAATGAACAACATCCTAGAGCAGCAAGGGCGTGTCCTTTTCACCCCAGGATGTAGAAGTGCTGAGTTACTTAGTTAAGCTTCTAGACTCCTCAAGTTGACACAGTGTATCAGCCATAACATGCACATGAGCATTCCCGTTGTGCCCTCCTGAAATGGTACTAAATATGGCCAGGCATTTATGGGAAGCCTGGCTTTCAATCCTGATATTGGTTCTTCTTCCATCCTGTTCACACCACTGGCCAGAGTTTGAAAAGAACATACTTTCTTTGGAAAATAGCCATAATAACAGAGCATAGAAACTTTGTTATAGTTGCTCTTCATTGCATAGGAGTTTTCTGTTTTTCTCTCTTTTTGTAGCACAGAATTTTAGGATATGTGCATGTTATAAGCAGTTGGATAAAATTGTGCATTGGCATTCCTAAAATACATAAAATATAAAATGAGAGCTCATTGTGTGGGCATGGCTTCAAAACAGCAGTATAGGTTGTGAAAGTCTAACACTTGACATGTTTCTGTAAGGGACAAAATTTTGCAGTTGTGTTTTCATCATCTTTATGAAATTTGATAAAATCATGGATAGCAGGTTTCCCTTTTCCCCCCTTTTTTCTAGTATTTATTTTTAAGCATACCTTGGAAAAGCCTGTCCGGATTCAAAGCAAAGGACTAATACATCTCTTGTGTTTCAAAAATCATTTTTTTAGTTACTATTTTTAAGTTTTCTAGTAGATAAGGTCTGGCACTGGGCACATAATGGTACATTATTATTTATGTTTTTTAGGAGGAATGGATGTTGTTTTTTCCATAGTTCAAAGTTTTTGGAACGAGTCAGCTGCTGGCTGGTGTTTCTTTACTTTGGAAGACTCAGTATACGGTATCATGTTAAGAAAATCATCATTTACTCTTCATCGATGGCAAGGGATTTTTATTCTACTTCAGGTGATCATCGTTTGTTTTACTGTACACAAAATAAAATGCACTGGTCAATCTTGGATGCAACATAAATTACTATTATTATTGTTATTCTTCATTTTCTAGGACATAAATATAGAAAATCCTAGAATGTGTGAGACCTTTCATATCGGTCCTGCCCCCTACTTTGTGATCACTCATAAAGAAAGAAATGGAGAAAAGCCTTCTGTTAATAGTGTGTATACGTTAACATCTGGATTCAAATTATTCCTGGTAAAGAAAAAAAAATCTTCATTTTTTTTGCCCCCCCATAGATTGCTTTACTTAAAAAATTCAGATTTGTAAAATAATCAAAATAGAAGATAATTTATGTTTTATGTTATGGTGGCAACGGACTTTTTTGCAAATTGGTGTACATTGTAGCAAAGAATCTTAATTCAGGGTATTTTTTTTCTTGAACTGACACTATGTATGCATACCTACAGATCGAGTAATTCTTCAAGTCTTGAACTTTAAGTATTCACAGTTACTGTAGTCATTGCCTTTCGTAGTTCAAATCTCCTTTACACTTTTATTCCCACTCTTCCTTGCAGGTACAAACAATTATTATTTCGGAAAGTTCCCAAGTAAGACATTTTACTTCAGACAATCAAGATTATTTAATTGTTGCAAGTCAAAGAGACGACTCTGAATTAACTCAGGTTTGATTCATTTAAAACAGTTTTTTTCCCTTTTTAAAAATAGTGTGATTGAAATCGATCAGCTATGGTGTGTAGATTGTATGCAGAAGAGCACCATAATTTGATTGCTGCAGAATAGCAAAGGAAAATGTAAATATTGATTGGTTATGGTTAAGTTTTAGATAACAAAGCTGTGAATAGTGTGTTCTCTTTAAGAGTGAGAGCAAATGTGATAATCATGGGTATTTAATTAGAATGTAGCTGACTTGGAAAATCTCACGGAGAAAAGTCACACCGCGTGACAGACGGCATCACTGCAAAGCCACGATGAACATGGCCATCCGGGCACCCGCCGTCGCCCCAGAAATTCCCCATTTCTCTTGTAAACTGTGTGTTGTAACCCCCACAGTGCCTGCTGGAGAACTTTTATCATTCACACTTTTGTACATGCTTCTTATCTTCTCACTTTCAGCCGGAGCTCTTGCTGAAACGAAAGCTACCAGAGCCCAACACCAAATTCAAAAGCCCTCTTGAAACCTGGCCTTGTGCCCCTCCCTGCTGACATGGGCGGCACCCTTCTGTCAAAGCCCGCCCTCTGCTGGGGGTCCCCTCTTGCCTTCCCAGGGCTTCCCTTTTCCCTCCATCGTGGGCATTTCTCTCTGGGTGGCAGTGGTGCCGCTGGCCTCAGTAGTTGAGAATCCACGGTGTAATAGAAATCCCTTCCCTGGTCTCATCCCCTTTGCGTTTCGGCTTCGTTTCTCTTCTCCCTTAGTGGGAGGCGTCTTACTTTGTCTTCCCTTCCTCATGCTCACAGTGACAGTGCGGTCACCGAAACGGGAGGCTGTGTCCGTCCTCATCTCACGTTGCTTCTTATCAGCAGGTGATGGTGACGGGCACCGCATCCTCGCCCAGACTGTCCTCTCTCTCACGCGGAGGGCATGTGTGTGTCCTCCTGCTCAGTCTCCTTTACCAGCTCCTTCCTCCTTTCCTGAAGTGGGAAATCTTAGGGCGTTCTAGAATTCATTTTAAGTTTAAATTTCATTTTTCTTTCTCTTCACTCACTCTTGTTAATGTTCCCAGTCCTACAGCTTTGCGTGTCAGCTACAGGCTAGCGTCTTTAAGTGGTACCCCTCTCCTCTCCTGTGTGTTCCACCCTTGGGTATCCAACTCCCGGTTGACGTGCCCACTCATACGTGCTTTAGGTGTGTGGTACTTCACATGCCTTGAGCTGACTTTTTAATTTTCTCTCTGAAATGTGTGTTTTATTTTTATTTTTATTTTTTCTTTGTTTTTTTCCGGTACTGGGAATCGAACTCATGACCTTGCGCTTGCCAGGCAGGCACTGTGCTGCTGAGCTAAATCCCCAGCCCCTAAAACGTGTGTTTTAGTGTCTGCTTTGGTCACAGGAAATAGTAACCCGAAGTTCAATTGCTCAAGAAACAATTCTGTGATATACCCTGCTTGATTACGCCTTTTCATTTTGCCCCTTCTGATTTGTCACTGTGTTGGATTATGTGTCTCAGTGATAGTTGGAGGAGTGCCGCTTCTCTGCACCTCTACCCCTGTCTTCCCAGGCCAAGCCCCCTGCTCTCGGCTGTGCGGTTAGCATAGCCTGCAGGCTGTCAACCCCTCTCACCTCATCTCATCTACTCTCTATTGGGTGATGAGGACAATTTTGTTAAAATATTGATTTGTTCATCCTTATTTTAAAACTATTCCACGAATTCCAGTTAAAGTTACTGTAAATTTTTAATTCTTTAGTGCAGGCTGTGTGTGGTAAAACCATATTTCCTCACTGGCAAGGAGAGCATTGGCTCGTGCCTCTTGTCTTGGGACCATTATTTATGATTACATTTCACTCTTGAGAGGGTCCCTATTTGAATGATGAACTGTATGGTCACCTCATGAAAGGTCCCTATGGCCTTCACTGTCTGTTCTTGTAAAAATGTTTTTATTTTTATTGGCCCCTGGTTTCAGGATGGAATGACTCACGCCTCCTAGGGGGTGGGTTCATGGACACAGCACATCTTCATTATTTCTTCATCGCCTCCATCCTCTTCCTTTAATCTCTCGGTCTCTTTCCCTTTTGCAAAAGACCTAACAGTATTTCCAATTATCTATCTTTTATTTTGCCCTTTGTTTATGTTTTGGATTTCCCATATAGAAAAACCATGTGATATTTAAGCTTACAGTGTATATCAGATTTATTTCATTTACTATTATGATCTCAAGTGGCATCTGTTTTTCTATAGGTAACTCAAGTTTATCCTTCCTCGTGGCAGCATAGTACTCCACTGTGGATAAATGCTGTATGTTCATTATCTTCATCTGCTAGTGAGCATATAGGCTGCTTCCAAGATTTATCTATTATGAGCTGTGCTGCTACAAACCTGGACATGCACGTATCACTATAATATGATATCTTTACCTCTTTTGGGAAGACTCACCTAGAAGTGGAATAGCTGGGTCAAACAGAAGTTCTAGTTTTAGTTTTCTGGGAACTCTCCATGCTGATTTCTACAGTGGTTGTGAGTAGTTTACGTTCATACCGACAATGTAGAAGGGTTCTTGTTTCCCCACAGCCTTGTCGGGTTTTATTATTTGATTTCTTGGTGATTGCTATACTGTCTAGGATAAGATTGAATGTCGGTGTTATTTTAATTTGCATTTCTATAATGGCCAGTGATGTTGAATATTTTTTCAGTATTTATTTATTGCCCATCTGTACTTTCTCTGAGAAGTGTCTGTTCATTTTAGTTGCCTGTTTTTCGATTTTCTATTTCAGGGGATCTACTTTTTTTAAAAAAAATTCTGTGCATATTCTAGCCCTTTGTGTGAGGAATAGCTGGCAATTTTTTTTTTCCATTCTGTTGGCTGTCTCTTCACTCGGTTGTTTCCTTAGCTGTACAGAAAGTTTTAAATTTGATATGATCGTATTTGTTGGTTCTTGGTAGTATTTCTTCTGCAATTAGGGTTCTTTCAGAAAGTCCTTGCCTATTCTTATCACTGCAGGAGTTTTGCTTATTTCATCTTCTAGCAGGTTAAGTGCTGCTGTTTTAACATTAAGATCTTTGATCCATTTTGATTTCAGTTTAGTATATGTTGAGAAATTGGGGTCTAGATTCAATCTTCTGCATCTGAATGACTAGTTTTCCCAGTACTATTGATTATAGAGGTTTTATTTCCTCCAGTGTATGTTTTCGGTTTCTTTGTTAAAGACGTCTAATGTGTCTGTGTTTGTGCAACCTCTGTTGTGTTCATTGATGCACATGTCCGTTTTTGTGCCAATACCATGCTGTTTTTATCACTGTTGCTTTGTGGTGTAACTTGAAGTCAGACATTGTGATGCCTGTTGTTTTACTCTTGTTTTTTAGGATTGCTTTTGCTAGTCTGGGTCTCTTCTAGTTCCATATGAATATTAAGATTGTTTTCTCTAGTTCTCTGAAGAATGCTCTTGGTATTTTGATTGCAATTACATTAAATTATATAACAATTTTGGAAGTATGGCCACTTTAGGTATCTGCTTTTGCCTATCCAGGAACAGAGGATATTTTTCCATTTTCCCATGTCCTCTTTAATCTCTTTTTTTAGGGTACTGTAGTTTTCATTGTAGAGGTCTTTCACTTCCTCAGGTAGGTTAATTCCCAAGTGTTTTAGTTTTCCTGGTACTATTGTGAATGGTATTGTTTTCCTAATTTCTTTGTCACCAAGTTCATTATTAGTATACAGGGACACTATTGACTTTTGTGTACTGATTTTATATCCTGCCTCGCTACTGAATTTGGTTATTAATTCTAGGAGTGTTTTGGTGGAATTTTCTGGGTTTGCTATGTAGAGGATCCTGTTATCCACAGATAAGGATAATTTAACCTAATGGAATCACTAAATGAAGAGACCACTGCAGGCATGGCTCCTAGCTTAGCGCCCATTTCAAAGGTCCCAAATGTCGACTGAATAAGTCTTTGTACAAGTGAGCACTGGTAGGAGAAAGCAGATAGATTGTGAATTTTCTTTTAATTTTAAATGTATGAACACCTACCTGAAATTTGTAAGCATTGCTTACAGGAAGATGAAAATACTTCAGGTGTTCCTCTGTTCATTGCCTGAGCTTCTGGTAATGACTTTGCAATATCAGAAAATTTTGTGTCTGGTTATAAACCTTTCATGTTTGATTTAATTCTCTCCTATTTTCGGTTTTCTCTTCTCTCTACCCAGATGTAAAATTGGTACTGATTTCAAAATAACACGCGCACGCACACACACACACACACACACACAGCTAAAATGCAGGAGATGGTGATCTGGGTATTTTTCCCATGAAGGTACACTAACTAAATAAAAGGATCCAGCCTTTGACACTGGTTGAACTCTCACAGTTGAGACTCTCAGCCATGCAGGCTGTCTGTGCCCATTTCCTGCAGGTCTTCAGGTGGAATGGAGGAAGCTTCGCGCCGCATCAGAAGCTCCCTGTCCGGCGGGTGCTGGCCGCAGCCCTGTTCACCAGAGGCGGCTCTGTGTTCCTGGCCGTGTCGCTGGCCGACCCCCGGCTCGCAGCCCTTGTATTCAGATGGACCGGCAGTGCATTCGTTACCTCGCAAGAAGTGCCTGTCCCTGGCACGGCAGGACTGGAGGCTCTGTCTTCGGGCAATGATATTTACTTAATTTTTGCCAAAAATATCTTTCTAGGTGAGAAGATACCACATTTCTAGTGCATTTACAGTTAGTACAAATATTGTGTAGCACCTATAGGTTTTATACAAAAATACTCCTGTAATAATCTTTTAGATAATCCGTGGACTGTTTCTTGATGGATGAATATTAGCTAGCAGTTATAAGTTGATTCTGGAAAACATTAAAAGATGTCTGTCATCCTGTGGTGTGCTGAGCCGCCATTTTAAAGTTATAGTGAAATAAAACTGGCAGTGGGTAGGTAAAGTGGGCGTATTTGCGCAGCTTTTATCCCCAAAGCACAAACATGCAGCTTTTTATGTAGATATTATCAGGGTATCCTGGGTAATTTATGCTATTGATAAATAATGTTTAGCAGCTTTTGATAAGATTGTTGCAAAATATCCTCTGAATAAGAAAATGCTTTCTTTTTGTTTTTGTTTTGTTTTTCTTACGGTACCAGGAATTGAACCCACGACCTTGCTCTTCTCAGGCGGGCGCTGTGCCGCTTTGCTAAATCCCCAGGCGAAAATGCTTTCTTTTGCTTGTTGAAATTTTCATAGATAAAATCCCAACAGTCCCCCCCAAAAAAACATGTTGTCCCTATTATTTTTTGAATTACTGTGTACACTTAATGTAGTAAATGCTAAAAGACTTCTGAAGTGTTTGCGACTCAGTTACAGTTTGTTCAAATGAACTGGATTCTGAGAAAATTTGTTTAAGTGTAACATTTTATGATAGTTACCATGTAATTTTGTCATTCTATTTCTGTCACTTTGATCTGAGAACTTGGTTTGTTCCATTACTGTAGGAAAGGAGAACTCAGTTGATATTTTCGTCTGGGAGACAGGACAGCCTTCTTTCAGGTATTTCCAGTCCCTGGGAATTGCCGCCGTGAACAGAATCCTTCCCTTCACGCCAGCCTCAGGAATAGGTAAGGATTCTCAACTGCTAACCAGTCTGAAAAACAGTGCGGGAAGCCACAGTGATTTTAGTCTCACTGAGTTTGATGACGGGTTGCTCCCCCAGGCAGCTGCTATCATAACGGACTGAAAAATGAATCCTGCCACAACTCCTAGGGTTTCGAAAGGACTCACACTTTCAAAATGTGCATTGTGCTGGAGCGTGATAAAAATGAATAAGTTATGGAGGAGAACATTAATGAAGAATAGAGAGTATATTTCTTTTGATGTTCTTTTGTTCAGAGAAAAATGAAGTGACATAAATGTATATATTTTTAAAATGTGAAAGTCTGTATGAGGAGGTAGCGAATGCTTGCTCTGATGGAGTTTTTGAAAAGTCAGAAAGCCACTGAGAGCTCTGCTGCCCCCGTTCTGTCTCCTGAGCCCCCGTCAGAGCCCGGAGTCCCTTCTTGTCTTCTGTACTTCATCCACACTCCAGAAACCTAAGCAGTATGTTTTAGTCTCAGAAGCAGAGTCCATTACTGAGGCCTCCAGTGTTTCTGCTGGCAGGAGGCTGTGCGTCACTTCAGGCTCGGCCCGAGTCACGTGGGTGGGCCGTTACAGGGAGCAGCGGCTCCTGATCAGGCTGCCTCTCCCAGCGGTGTCAGTGGTGTGGCAGGGGACACGGTCAGTGGGTTTCCTGTCGTGGTGCCCAGAGGAACTTGGCATCCAAGCCTGAGGGGCTGCACAGGTGAATTTGCCCGAATCACAGACCTGCTTGCAGAACGACACAAGACAATTCTGTGTAAATGAAGCAGCACACTTACTATTCTGACATTAGGCATAAGCCACTGTTATGAAGATAACGAAGAAGTCCATGCCTTTAAAGTCTCATAGTTTGGTTAGAGAAACAAGGCAAAATGCTAAGACACTCACTTGATGCAAAGGACCAGTAATACCCGTTGTTCTGTGAGGGGTAGAATTTGGGGGTGAAGAGGTGTTAGAGGGGCCGTGAGCCAAGTCTGAGTGGGTTGGCAGGGGAAGGCACGAGCCAAGGGCAGACAGCGGATGGGTCTGTGTCTGTGAGGGCCTAGATGGCCCTCAGTGCTGAGCTTGGGGACATCCACCCCTGTCCCCGGAGAGGTCCCGCTGGCCTTCACGTTAGGTCTTAGAAACTTTCACTCTACACTGTTTGAGGACCTCAGAGAACTTTTTTGTGTGTGGATTATACCCACTGATATTTATGAGATTAGAACAGAGAAACTTTAAAATATCTTCATGAATTTATTTGAAAATGACAGTAATACATGTATTACAAGTAAACATGAGTAACACAATTTAGTTAAGAAAACCTTTCTATTTCCAAAACAAAATCATTTGTCAGAAGAGTGGCATTTAAATATATATAAAACTCTTTACTGGCTGCTTTAGTTGATGATATCTGAATTGTCTCTTCAGATGAACTCATTTGCTTATTTTTTTTCAGCTGCATTTGTGTGATTGTGAGATAAATATTGCATACGTGTAAGCTGTGCAGCGTGACGCATGCACACATTTTGGAATGACTGCTTTGAGCGGGCTCACTGGCCCTTTCATCACTGCCCATATTCGCCCTTTTCTGTCCTGAGAGCATTCAAGATCCTGTTCTCTCGGCAGACTGCGAGCACACCTCAGTACTCCTGATCGCCACCAGCTGGCTGTGAGACCGCAGGTCTTAACTGACAGAAGTTCGCACCCTTGAGCCGAAACCCTTCTCTTTACCCCTCCAGGCCCTGGCAGACACCTTCCTCCTTCCGGTCTCTGTGACTTCATACACTCTTGAGATTCTATGCACAGGCCGAGCATTTCTGCTATGAATGTCTGAACTTTGAAATGCTCTAAAAGCTGAAGCTTCTTGAGCATTGACCTGGTGGCAGGAATGAAAAATTCTATACTGTGAAACTTTAAGCACAAAATTACTAAAAACATTGTAGAAAACTACCTTCAGGATATATTCACAAGAGGTATACAAGCCGCAAATAAACTTTGTGGTTAGATTTTGGGTCTCGTCCCCAGGATATTTCATTTATATATTTGCATATTCCAAAACCTGAAAAAACTCTCGAGATTCAAAACACTCCTGGCTTTGCACATTTCAGATAAGGGAGGCTCAGCCTGTGTGAGTGAGATCGGGTGGGCCGCGTTTGTGTGTCTCCTCCTGCATTTTACTGTCTCTATCGCCTTTCCACCTGCCGCAGTACTATCCATCAGAACCGCGGAGAATTTGACGGCAGACCCACGAAAGAGAGAGTGAAGTAGGCAAGCAGCATCTTACTCTCAGTTTTGACCGCACACATTTTCTGAAAGGGCCTCGAGGACTCTAAGGTTCCTAAAGCACACTCTGAGCGCCGTTGAAAGGCATTTCAAAGAGCGGTGACGCTCCCAGCCATGCTTTACAGAGCCCCTCACCCTGGTGTAGAAGCACCGTGGGCTCCGCAACCTGCCAAGAGAACAGCTGAAGACCCTGAGCTGGGGTGAGAAATGTGAAGCAGAGATTCTTAGAGTCAAGAGAAGTTGGACAAGAAGGTTCGGGAGTCCTGGGTGGCTGCACAGGGTGGGGAGCCAGCGTTATCACACCTTGGCGGCCGAGGGGAGAATAGCTTTAACAAGAGGACGCAGGGAAAATGCTGTTAGCAGGAACTGTGATGAGCTGGTTCTCGATGCCCTTAGCTTGAGGGGATGTTAAAGCATCGGCGGTTGTTAGAGGAAACCAGAAAGAGGTCTTGACTTTGGACACCTTCATGTGGGCAGGTAGGTGAGCTCATGGAAGTTCAGGTGTACAAGCTCATGGAAGTTCAGGTGTACATGGGAGTTCAGGTGTACATGGGAGTTCAGGTGTACAAGTTCAGGTGTTCTCTCTTTGTAATGAGACGAGAGGATTTTACACACACTCCAGGGTCTGTTTAGTGGTTTTTCTTTTAGGTGCTGGACAGCTGCTTCCTCTTGCGAACTTTGCGTGCTGTCCCCTTAGGTCACCTCCGCCCTGACCAGGAACCGGAGGTTATTTGCCTCTAATTTTCAATAGAGTTTTTAAAAATCTCATTGTAGTTCATTTCCACGTTTCCTGCTCTGTCCTCAGCCCCGAGTTCAGCCTCTCCTCCGAGGCCCTTCCTGTTTGTCTGCACTGTTCCACGCTTTCCCGCCTCGACCAGCTCCGCTGCTGCTGCTCCTGCGCCTGTCTGTCCTGGTCATTCCTCATGCAGCTTCTTTACGTGGTCCACGCTCTGGTGCAGGGCATTCATTGTGATGCCATCCTGTGCTCTACAACCTGACTGACTTTTCTTTCACATAACAATCGATTTATGAGCACAGTATGTGTCTTTCATCATGAGTCTGTTTGGTTTTTTCTACTTCTCTTTTAATTTTGTGCCTTTAAATGTTTTGCTTCTCTTATACCTTGAGTTTCCGAGTGGACTCTGTCTACTTAAGCCCCTTATTATTATTCAAAGTAGTCATCTAATGAATGTTTTTAAGGATGCAATGGGCTGCCGAGATATGCCGTTGACTAGAGTTACAGAATTCTCTTTAAAATTTTTATTACAAAATATATAATAAGCATACTTTCTAAGAGAATGCCTGGAAAATTGTGCCAGAGGTTTATCAAGGGGCCCACTGTGAGGCCTCTTTATTCCTTTTGTTTCTGTGATCTGAGGTTTTAGGAGTATGAAAAGATTGCAGGTAATTATTTAGAATGGCTTATTACAGATCCCCTGAAAGCTGAAATTATGTATTAAGTAATGTTGAAGGGCTTTGGTATTTTGAATGCATCAAATATTTTATTACAACTATTAGATTGGAGCTATGACTATGAGGATCATGTATTTTATTCTGGTTAATGACTTGACAGAGTATTGGGTGGAGACTGAATTCTTTAAATGGAAGAGGGAAAGGAACATAACCAAGACTACAGGAGCATAGAAAGTTATCTTCCCCTTCTCTTTTCTCTCTCTTACTAGTTTATGAGTCTTTTTTTTGTGTGTGTGGTGCTGGGCTCAAAGTCGACAGGAGTTTTTACATGCCAATTATTGCTAAACAGAGAGGTAGATTTTGGGGAAAGGGGAAAGCAAAATCACAGGTCCCTGACCTGGTGAAGTTTAACACACACGCACACACACACACACACACACACACACACACCTGAAATAAGGTTCTAGCTATCAACACATAACCGCCGCAGAGGAATGGAAGAAAGCACTGTCATTAGACAAAATGGATAGGACTTGACCTAGTTTGAGGAGATACTCTGAAAGTTTTCTTAAGCCAGACTCCTTTAACAGACAAATCCAGGTTGGGTAGGAGTGAAGGAGACAAAGACTAGCATGAAATCGGTGCGGCCGAAGGATGCCACAGCCTGTGCAAAGGTCAGGTGGTGCTGAAGACTCGAACCCCAGGGCCAGACCCGGAAAGGCAGCATGACCCCCCCAGGGAATGAGGGAAGACCACTCAGCTCAGCAGGTGGGGCCCTCAAGGTCGATGGTCTTTACTCCCGAGGTGGCCTTTATGAGAAGATGGTGAGGAGATGGAAAACGTGAGGGACGGATGGTGGGGCTTGGAAGAGAGCAACTCTGTGCTTTTTAAAGAAAAACTGAGGTGCTTGTAAGAGTTTGTCTGGAAACACACTGGAGGTTTATGTCCTACTTCCAACTAGAGATTTGGGGTGGAGCGTGGGGAGGGTGGGTGTTGCAGGTGGAAAGTCCCAGTAAACAGGTCCAGGAGATCCCTCAGAGGCAAGCCCCGGAGCTGATGGCTGATTAGATACGGGAGTGGGTGGGAGAGAAGGTGCTGAGGGTGACCCTGGTTTCCGGAAGTCATGTGTACACGGGCTGCGATGACGATCCCTTGCAGGAGGATCGTGTTTGGAGGCAGAGACAATGCATCTGGTTGGGATGTGGTGAACTGGGGACAACTTGGAGCAAACATGCCTACTTGGAGCTTGAAGAGCTTGCTCGAGAGCACGTATACATTGGAAATTCATCAGGATGAAGGGTCATTTTTCCACAGTAGAGATGGAGTGGCGCAGGAAGAGATTACACAGTGTGAGAGAAGGGGGCTTCGGAACCAGCCTCGTTATACTCCACTGTTTTAAGAGAATTGGAAGGTGCATATTTGGGAAAAGGAGTGAAAAAGTATGGAAGTTGTTTAGTACATCCCAAATCCTATTCTAGCCCTTCACTTTAATCTCACTTAAACTTTTATTCTTCATGCTGCCGGCGAGACCCTTACCTCTGTCTACCAATTTCCCCAATGTCTCAGCGTCACCAAAACTGTCACCTCTGGACATCCCCAACTTCGGAAATCATCCAAACGGAAGCGTCACTCTCTTGGTCCCTGTCTGTCCCCCGTTAGTAGTTCAAGGCATCTGGGGATTGAGAGGTGCTTGTGCTCGACTAGACCATGTGATTCTAGATTTCCAGGTGTGGTGCCAACTTCCTTCCCCACTCCTAAGCTGTTGCCCAGCGCCCAGTGGAGTGGACAAGCTTTGTCCCGGGCTCTCTTCAGAGCCCCCATTGTTGCCTCACTCAGGAACTTGCGTGTCTCTTGAGCGTGCTACGTCCCACGCAGCTCCCCTGGCTCTTGCAGGTTCATCCTTGTGTCCCCAGATCTTGAATGTTAGGAATGCTTTCTCTCAGGTGTTTAGTCCTAAAACATCTCTTTACCTACACTCTTTACACTATCTCATCCGGGGCCTTCCTTCGACACACTTGTTTTTTATAGTTTCACTAAGTGGAATCTATAATCGGTGTTAGCTCAAATTTGGTTCTTGGCTGTTGAGTTTAGGATTTTTTTCTTGTGAATTCTCCAGCTCAGTTTCATGCTCCTTTAGAGTACAAAGGTTTACTTGCCGAGAAAATGTTTTCTGCACGCTTATGCAGATGCCCCCTGATTTACAGTGGTTCAGCCCAGCACTTTTCAGTGACTGACTTTATAATGTGTGGAAGTGAGCCAAGTTCAGTAAGAAACAGAGCTTGAACTTGGAACTGTGGAGACTGGAGATTGTACAGGGCTCAGTGAGTTCTATGATGGGCACAGTGCTTGGTTATAAACAGCCTTTGTGTTGAATGGAAAAAGGTGAGCAGGATCCATCTCTAAAAGGCCCAGCCCCATCACTGGTGGTTCAGATGACGTCAGTTCATGATGTTGTTTGAGCTTGTGCATGAGCTAAACTTGAGGGTTGTCAAGGTCCATCTGACTTTGTTTTTTTTTTTTTTTTTGAATGTGTCTAGTTTTACAAGGGTTTATGCAAAATGCATTGCCATGTAAAGGTCTGAGTGTATTGATAGCACCTTTCCTGATGTTCTTTACTGTTTATGCAATATTTACTACACTGTACTTAAATTAACTGTACTACTTAATTAACTGTACTTAAATTAATGACTATAAACATGAGGAGTGACCTAAAAATATGGTGAATATTTAAATTCATTATTTGTGTATTGTGTATTTTGTTGTAGAGTGTTTCTGTAATTTTTGATTTTATTAGTACATGTTTGTACCCTCTTTCACCCAGAATAAGACCTAGCTGGAAAATAATCAGCCTTAGAAAGTAGAGATCACAAATGCCGGGCCCAGCCAGCCTGTCCTCGCCTTACCTGCTGTCACTGTTCTCTTGCTTGGTGGCTACTCTATAAGGCAGGTAAGGCAAGGAGAGGCTGGTCAGGGCTAGACTTTTTCATCTCCAGTTTTCAAGCCTGATTATTTTCCAGGTGGGCCTTATTTTCCAGAAACATGCTAGCACGTAATGCTTACATTCATGATGCGGAGTTGGCACGTGTGTATAACGTATCTTAATTCAATTTACTTCTCCTCCGCTTGGACCCCGTTTCTCCATCTCTTTGCCTTCTGCCCATTTGCAGAAGATTTATCTCTCTTTTCTCCTATTATCTATTTTGTTTGCTCTTCAATTCATTTATACCCTGGGTTTCTCATATAAGGGAAATCATGTGATAAGTAAGCTTGTGTGTCTGGTTTATTTCACTTAACACTATGGTCTCAAGATGCATCCATTTTCCTACAAACGACTCAAATTTATACTTCTTTTGTAGCAAAGTAATACTTCATTGTATAAATACCACATTTTATTTATCCATTCATCTATTCATGGATACGTATTATAAAACATATTACCGCTAACCCCCTCACAATCCTCCCCTTCATTTCAAACACACTTATCCCATTATTCTTGCCGCTTTCTGAAGCAGCTCTGGAAGTCTCCTTCGTGAGTGTCTTTGGTTGTGCTGTCATGGCTGCCTCAGTATCCTGAATGCATTAAAAACATTTACCTTTCCCGGTCATTTTGTTTTTTTTTTTTTTGGTTTTTCTCCGGTACCGAGAACCGAACTCACGACCTTGCGCTTGCCAGGCAGGCGCTTTTGCCGCTGAGCTAAATCCCCAGCCCTCCCGGTCATTTTGAATTTGTGGAAGATCCTGATGTCGCCTGGTGCCAGATCCAGGGAATAAAGTGCACGAGGACACACTGTAATCTTTTCAGGCTGCTTCCCCGCCTGATGGCACCTGGCAGCAGCATTCGCAATATGTTTAATCACATCTTGTAAAGACATGGAAAAGGACTTCCAAAACTCCTTCAGAAAGTGGCAAGAAAAATGCAGTAAGTGCCTCAAAAGAAAGGGAGACTATCTGAAGGTGATTAATGACAATGTGTAATAATTCTTTTGAAATGTAAACCTTCCGTGTATGTGCTGGTCACACCTTGTACATGGTCAGTAGTTCTTGATATGAACGATTAAGGACATGAAGCCTCCCACCGTACCCTTCAGAAGAGACTCAGGCTTCCTGGTTATGTGTACTATTTTAACACCTATAATCCATCTCATTTGCTATCTTTATTTCCAATGTGTTTTTTTAACTGATGAGAATTTTTGGGGCTGGAGATTTAGCTCAGTGGCACAGCGCGTGCCTGGCAAGTGCGACATCGTGAGTTCGATTCCTGGTACCGGAAAAAAAAACCAAAAAAGCAAACGAGAATTTGTGTATATTTCTCACTTCCGTTCCAATTTTAAGTCTGAAGATTTTTATACACAGCATTTAAAGCCTTCTTCATTCCCAGCCCCTGTAGATACAAATATGTGCCATTATTTCTAACTACTAGAAGCATGATTTTCTGATAACATTTCAAAAAATGTTGGCCAGCTGGGCGTGGTGACACACCCCTGTAATCCCAGCGTCCTAGGAGGCTGAGGCAAGAGGATAGAGAGTTTAAGCTCAACCTGGGAAACTTAGTGAGACCCTGCTTTAAAACAAAAAATGAAGATGGGCTGGGATATAGTCGAATATGAAACTCTTGGGTTCAGTTCCTCCAATACCATAAGAAAAGAGAAGAATCTGTTGCTACTTAATCTTGAAAAATTAAATATAAAACAACAACAAATATTCAATGTGGGAGAATTACTGAATATTTCTTAAAGATCATTTTATTATTATTATTTATGCATTAAAATTATAATCAATACAGTACAGCCACATATAAAAATATGAAATTATAAATACAGAAGATTGTTGAGTTTTTTATGTATACTGCTTACAACTATCGATTTTAAATTTATATGGGTGGTGACTGGAAAGAAAAATACAAAAGTGAAACATGTAGTGCTGGGATTATAGATATTTTTCACTTTTAAAAAAACATTTTTAAATAAACATTAAGATAGACACAGAAGAGTCCAAATCCACCTGGATTTTATCAGCCTGTAATTTCTTTTTTCTTAAAATGTGTGGGTATGTTGTCAGACTGAATTGATGTTTTCACAACACTCAAAAATATTATGTATATAAAGTTATTTTAGAAATAAAATTATATTTACTTTAGAAATCAAAAAGAAGCTGGGTATGATGGTGCGCTTCTATAATCCCAGCACTCTGGAAGCTGAGGCAGGAGGGTCTCAAAATGAAACTCCTTGTGGGCAACTTAGCAACTTAGTGAGTTAAAAATAAAAAGAAAGAAAAGGTTGAAATAGAACTTTAAAAGTTGGAAAAGTTTTGCTTGGGAACCAGTGCAGAATGCATGGTGCAGACTACACATCTCTCTCTACTTGTGTTTTCCTTCTCTCTCCACAGCCCACATACTTCTGACTGGCCCAGAGGTGTCTGCTCTTTACTGCTGGGATTCGGGACGGAACCAGTTCTCTCTCCTGCTGGAAGCCCCTTCTGCTCATGCTGCAGCGTCGGTCACAGTGAGATCTCTTAATTCAAGCAAGAGCTTGATCTCGGTGGCAGGCGCCCCCCACACTCACGTGCTGGAGCTGGCCTACGTCTCCAGCCAGTCCGACTTCATTCCTGGGTAGGTTCTGCTTCCCATACCCACCACGGTTCCCGTAGCAGCGATTTCTAAGTCTTGGTGACGACTTTAGCAGCCAGCAGTGTGGTTATTACCCATATTTCTTGTATTTATTCTACCAAGTTCATCTGTATTCTACGCTTACTTTGGATTAAATTTTTATTTATGAAATATTATAGTTCTTCGAAATAATATTATTCAGTAATGAATTCCATGAGGAAGCTACTATGTATATATCTTAACTTTGCTGTCGTTGACTCATTTTACACGCACTTCTCATGGCAGCTCGGGTGAACTGGTATTTGAACCTGGCAACAGAGAAGCTATAATAGCAGTGAATATCCTGGATGATTCCGTGCCAGAAGAGGAGGAGTCCTTCAGAGTGCAGCTTAAAAACCCCACAGGAGGGGCAGAGATTGGTGGTCAAGGCTCTGTGAAAATAACGATTCTGTCTAACGATGATGCATACGGAGTGGTTGCGTTCGCCCAGGTAAGAGCCCCAGAGCTCCACAGTTCCACTCGCTCCAGCTGCTTTCCCTGTGCTGGGGGATCAGCTCTGAGTCAGTAGGCAGCGAGGTGCAGTGTTGTGAGTATTTTTGGCCTTTCTCTCCTGGCTGCTGCTCTCCCCGGACTCTGCATTCTAAGATGACTCCTGCTGACATCGTGCAGTCTGCACCCCTACACAGTGGGCTCCCCCAGGTCAACCTGCCCTAATCTTTTATTTTTCTGTGCTTATTCTTTTTCATAGGGTTGAATCTGATGTGTTAATTGTCAGTCTTGGTGCAGACTTACCAGGGCTCACCAGAACAGATTCTAAACACCCTGTAACGTGTCGTGTCTCATACAGATAGATTCATTACTGCGGGTGGGGACAGAGAGGGCTGCCACTGCGTGCATTGTGTGTGTTTAGATGCCCTTGTCCTGGCAGAGGGAACTATGTGAAGCCGCCCAGGTGCACTGCCTTGCCCAACCTGTGAGCAAAAGGACAGCCTGCCTGACCGCACGCCCCCTTCATGCCTCCCCAGGAGTGCGTTCTGACTCTTTCCCTGTGTCTGCAGCTGTCAGTGTCTCCCTCTGCAAAATCCTGCGCAGAAGCAAACCCTGACTCAGCCAGTTTAAGGGCTCACAGGGCATCCACAGTGAAGAGGAGCTTGTGGGGCGCTGGGCGCTATCCCTCCCACCCTGCTCAGGTCCTCCCCACCCCTTCCGTTTATTGATACAAAGCTGGTCCTTCCTTTGATTGTTTGAAAACCGATGTTATGATTTGGGCTACTGCTTTCTGTCCGTGTCCAGTCAGGAACAGCGAGGTGCTGTATGTGACTTTTCAGTTATGAGAGAAATGTCCTAAAGCCTCTAGAAAAACCGCTTACACCTGGTTGGCCAGAACTGGCTCGTGGGCCCATCCAGGTGTTACTCACTCACTCACTCACTCACTCACTCACTCACTCAGGTGTTCATGCAGCAGGCTTTTAACAAACACCGATATGTGGATGCGCCGGGTACTGTACCAGAGGCTGAAGAGTCTCACAGAGTGAAGCAGTAAACGTCTCTATCTCGTGGTCCTTCAACCTGAGGGGACGGGGGAAGAGAGGCAATCAACAAAGACGCAGGAGAACGCACCGTACCTAAGCATGATGGGAGCTGGCGGACACGCTGCCGGGGGCGGGAGAGGAGAGGTTACGGGGGAAAATCCAGCACAGCACAGTCGATAGGGGCTGACAGAGTAAGCGACAGGAGAGCGGAGGCTCGTGGGGGTCGGGAGGGAGCTGTGTGCACATCCGGGAGGGCAGCGAAGACAGGGCCTGCGCTCAGCCCTGACCGTCCGGAGCAGACGGAGGCTGCAGTGGCTGGAGTTGGTGGTGCACAGCGGAGATGGAGCCTGAGAGGTGACCCCGTGTCCACGCCCCCCCTGGTACCCACTGTGCTGACGACGCCTTCTGAGCACATTTAGCGTTCCTTGTGCTCTTGGGTGTGATTTATGACAGCAAAGCGAGCAGCAGAAAATCACTGAGGCGAGGTGGATTTCTGCTCGAGGGTGGGGCGCAGAGGAAGCCAGGTGTGAGCACCCACGAGCCCCCTTGCAGGGGAGCCACACAGGATGCATGTCAGCGCCGCGATCAGTGCGTCCAGCCTTGCCAGCCAGAGAGGCTTGCCCAGAGACTCAAGGAGCTCGGGCGTGCAGGCACCCTGAGCCTGGCACCTACCGAATTCCAGGCTCCCTGAAGAGAGCAGATGTAGGCACGAGGCACCATTTGTGCTAAAGTTCAAGCACGGCGGGCCACCTAGCAGCTCTGGCCTCGTGGGGGGCTGCTTGGGGCTGGCATTCAGCCCTGCTGTGGCAACACTTCCCTGCGTGAGCCTGAGCACCTGGTGACCTTGACCCCCGAGCAAGCATGAAGCTCTGGAAGGCTTCAGGTAGACAGCATGCACTGACTCACATTTAAAAAACACAGAAATTAAGTAAAAGTAGAAATTTCATTTGACCCGGTTAATCCCCTCTTAGGCATCTTCCCAAAAGAGTTAGAGGCACCACGTTCCAGTGATGCACGCTCACGGGTTTACAGCAACGCAGCTCATAAACGCCAAAGCGTGGAAGCGGCCTGCATGTCCGTCAGCAGATGGATGGATAAAGAGAACATGGTAGCTTCACTCCACAGAGTAGGTGTAGAGAAAGAGAAACTTGAGTCACGTGTAGGAAAATGGCTGCAACTGGAGGCCATAACGTTCAGTGAGTGAATATTCCACTTAATATATCTGAAATATACAGTTGCTGGTGAGATAGTTCATCCTTGTGTTTAACTCCAGTGTACATTTTGCACCTAGACCAGGTGCATTCAGGGCTGGCTAACTGCGCGTGCATGGTGCTCTGGGCAAGCAGTGCAGACCTGGGGTGCGGACTCTGTCGGCGGAATTAGAAGGACGGAGGAGGGCCCCGTCCCCACCTGTCCCCGCCAAGCTCTCATGCCTGCTCCCTTTCCTGCAGACGAGGCTGGAAGTCTACCCCAGAGGCCGCCTGGGCTGAGATCCAAGTCCCCCTGTCGCTCTGTGTCCTTTCGTTACGGTGCTGCACGTGTCATCTCTTTCCTTTTATTGAGACTGAAAAGTATGGGAGCCAGTTACTTCTTACTGTGAAGTCTGTAATGCATAATAACATGAAGTAAAGAAAAGACTGCTTGGCTACTTCGGGGTAACCTTGTGTGACTTCTTGAATTTTGGCAGAATTCACTGTATAAACAAGTGGAAGAAATGGAGCAAGATAGCCTGGTCACCTTGAATGTGGAGCGCTTGAAAGGAACATACGGTCGTGTGATGGTGACGTGGGAAGCCGATGGAAGCGTCAGTGACATATTTCCTACCTCAGGAGTGGTATGTGATTTACAGAGCCTTAGGAGAGGCTGTTAAGCTATGGTTACTGTTGACAAACAGCACCAAATCCTGCCTCATGAGTGGAACGGTTCAGTTGGCCCCGTCAGCCCTGGGGCCCTCCTCATTACCTGAGAGGGAGGCACTTTAAAGTTAGTTTTATTGTTGTGGCTAGTGTGTTTCCTATAAAACCAAAATGATCTGTAAAGAAATGGTCGTCTCTTTTTTGGTTCAGTACATGAAATGGTGAGTGTATTACACTGTCAGAAAAGTACAGCCAAGCAAACGGGATGGGAAGCTGGTGTCGAGGTGTAGGTAAAGTGGAAATAGGGAATGGGGAGCAAATCTGTGTAAAATGCCCAACCTGACGTGCAGGCTGATCGAAGTTGTGGAGTGGCGTAGGTTGGGTTTCCCTACCTACAGCCTGGGTCCGGAGGGAGCGAGATGAGTGCCATCTGTAGGCAGGGGAGGAAAAGCTGACCCACAAGCAGCTGCAATTGAGTTGAGCCTGTGGGCGGGTTCTGCAGCCAAGCCGGTCTGTTGGTGTTGTTCCAAGTTTGGTGCTGGGCCGTTGGCACCCCATTTCAGTAGTCCTTCACCTCAGGATGCCTTCTAGGTAGGGTGCCACCGTGGTGGGGACTTGTGTTGCAGCCACGGGCTATCCCCAGTGAGGACCACGGAGGCTACTGTGCCCACAGCCGGGGTCCGGCCCAGCAGCATGAGAAGGGCTCCAAGCAGAAGCGCCTACTGAGGACAGGGTTAACCCGGTGCTCAGGCTTAAGAATGGAACCAGAATATCCAGAGGAGCAGATGACTTGCAAGGAGACGGTGCAGAGAGCCTTTTGTTGCAGTTGGAATAGGGATTGTCCCCTGCCTTGCTTTGTGCTTCATAGGCTAATCAGCATATTTTGCCCAAATGCTTCTCTGAGAACTGTTTTCAAGGAACCCTTATAAAGTTATCTCAAAAAAGGACAATGATATCTCACAGTCCAGCAGTTCTAAATTCCAGTACCATTTGAAAGATGATAGGAGCTTCACTGTCCTCTTTCACGACTACTTTGTCTTGGCGGAGCACTTGTCCTGGACAGCGTAGAAAGTGACAGACAGTATGCAGTCTAAGAAGCTTGCCTGACTTCCAGTACAGTTTGTGGGAAATGGAGCTGGCCGGCAGGCAGCAGTTTTCTGACCCCTGATGTTATTAATAAAGCTCTTGTGTTTTTATCCTTCCATGGATGGCAAGATGAGGGTCAGGCGGAGACCTGCGGGCCAGTCTGAGGAAATGTAGTTTGTAGTCACACTGCTGGGGATTGGGTAAGAGGTGAGCATGATGGGAAATGACGTCCATGAAGCAGACAGAGCTCTGGGAGCAAGGGCTTCAGACGGCTTTCAGCAAATTTGGATTTCAGTTTTTAAACAATGGAGGCACCAAAGGAGGAGAGCGGTGGTGTGATTGTATCTCTTCTTATCTTTCCCTCTCTGCTATTTTGGCTGATTCATTGTTAAGTGACACATCTGTGTGGTGTAGCAGTTCTGGCAAAAGTTTTGTAGAGAAAATGTGTTTAAAATCATATGCCACCTTCTTTTATTTGAATAGAGCTTTACATTGTTGTATCTAGCACTTAGCTTTACATTATTGTATCTAGCACTTTAGCAAATTCCCTTAGAAGGAATTTGTGCTCTGTGATATGAAAGGTAGGGTGCAGGATGGGAGATTCGGATGACAGGTTTTATTAGTTTAAGATTCAGAAAATTTCACTTTATTCTTCTTCCTAACAATCTTATACTTTTCACATGAAAGGCCTTTGATTTACTTGTATAATCATCTTACCTTGCTTACCTATCTTTTGTTATTTATGATTCTATTAAAAGAAAAGCAAACTTTTTGATTCTTACTGTACAGTGACAATTACAAACTGGATAATTTTCTTTCTCTAAATTTTTAGATTTCATTTGCTGAAGGCCAGGCGCTGTCCACAATCACTCTGACTGTTCTTGCTGATGACACGCCGGAGTTATCCGAGGTGGTGACCGTGACGCTCACCCACATTACCACAGAAGGTGTCAGGGACCCTTCCAAAGGTGCCACCATCGATCTGCAAAGAAACAAGTCTGTGATCACCACTCTGGCCAACGACTCCCCCTATGGCCTGGTGGGCTGGCACTCGGGGTCTCTCTTCACTCGAGTGGCGGAGCCTACAGGTAAATCCTGTGAACTGTTCCTTGGGTTCTAGGGAGACTTTTCATGGCATAGCGTCATTCTTGCACTTACAGGGATGCAAACTTTTCATATGACATTTTCACTTCAGTATGCTGTAGTCCTTTTTGTTTATTTTTATTAAATTTCATGATCATGTAATTGCTCAGCAATAAGGCCATTAAAATTTTTAATTTTGAAATATATACTAACACAATGGAAATTTAACATTTTAGTTAAGCCCTTGTAGGATTCATGACTGGTTTTTATTACTTCATCTTTTTCATGTTTTTTTATGCTTTTTCCTTCCTCACTCAGATTTTCTCCATATATATTTTCAATAATCACTGTACACAGTGAACAATACAAATTTTTGAAGATAAAGGTCATTTTACTTATTTAAAGAAAAAGTTATGTATAATGTGTGTTTAGAATACACTATATGAAGATTCTAAACCTCTGAGGTAATATCCAGCTTTCAAATACCTTTCATTTGAAGAGCTAATAGAAAAAAATGTCCTGGAGTTTTGCTGCAAGGACTTTGTACACCATAAATATAGAATAGAAGTAGTAGATTTAACACACAATAAAATGATCTGTTAATTTTTTTTGTTGGTGAAACATTTCTGAAACACCAAGTCAGTGTGAGGAATGACAAGGTGTGGTCAGGAAATGAAGACACAATATTAAATTATCAGAAACTGATAGGCCAGTGGAGAATGTTGACAGCCATTTTTTTAAAATTCATTTTACTCCAAAAATTAAATTCTTAAAAAAATTTAAGCAATAGAATAAAAATTATTTGCTATGAAACACTTTGAACCTTGTCATGGGCATCTCGGTATAAGAACAAAATCACTTTTTCTGATGACTGGTCATTAAATGGTGATATGCATTTAATTACTCATTTTCAAAGGATCATCTGAACCTGTGTAATTATCACCTCTCTTCCTCTTTCACATATGCACTCACTGAGACTTTTGCAATTGTTAGTTATAGTGTGTGACATGTACAACCTAGCAGGCTGCACTGAATCAGAACTGTGGGGTTTAAATGAGATCTGATGCTGGCAGCCAATGGTGAGTCTCAGCCCAATTTGGGGAACAGTGCAGAAAAGCAGAGAATGTTCTTTGGGAGTACATACTGTCTTTGTTGACCCTCATTTCTCAACTGTCTGAAAGGCTAGTGCAGAACGTCCCACAAGAGCTTGGAATAGCATTGACAGCAAACAGAAATGCTTACTTACCTGGGGCATGTTTATCTCACAGAGAATGTCACCATTCTTCAGTTGCAAATTGTTCGAGATAAAGGACTATTTGGGGACGTTGCCATTCACTTGATAGCTAAACCTAATTTCTTGCTGCACATCAATAATCAAGCTACTGAGAATGAAGATTATGTCTTACAAGAAACAACAATAATAATGAAAGAAAACATAAAAGAAACTCATGCCAAAGTTGCCATTTTGCCAGTAAGTATAGATTGCAATAAATACGATGTAAATTGAGGAAACATGTAAAATTGCGGTGCATTTGATAGGTAAAAATCTTTTTTAGAAGGATGCTTTTAAGTATAAAGCTATGGGGCCAGGGATATAGCTCAGTGGCACAAGCACCTGCCTGGCAAGCACAAGTTCCTGAGTTAGATTCCAGGTAC